GTAGTCGACGTAACAAAATCAAGTACTTGCATATTTGAAATATTGAGTCTTTTTTTTTTTTTTTATTTTTTATTTTACCGAGTTCTTCGGTATTTATTGAAACCGTAGACACGCCTTTCAAGGAGTAGGCTGCATAGGCTTCTTTCAGTTTGGCGCACATTGGAAATTAGTAACCGCACTGGCGGCTATCCCCTGAAGAAATGATAATACTAGGCATTGTAGAGTGGTCGTTCTAAACGATGAGGGTCGGGATGTTACACCTTTAATTTCTTTGTTGCTGCTTAAATCTGTTCCTTTTAAATTTAAATAAGAATTGATAATCTTCTTAAATCACGTGACAATAATGGGAATGAAGAATCCGTTTTCGGAGGGTGTCATAACAGAAACAAATATGTAAGGGGACGTTCAAAGATGTTTGAGAATTTTAACATTTACTTCTAGTGCCCCAATGACAGATTGCACGATTTATATTTAGAATAGTAAACTTCGTTTACCAGAAAGAAACTCCAAATCTCCTGGAAAAAATATCGCAGACTAATTACATATTCGCCGTGGTTCACAAGCAACATAAAACTCCATAAAAAATTAAATATTAATCGAATTATAAATAAAATAGGTGCACATGCCACCGTTTCTACCAAATGCTACCTAACATACAAGAATCATCTCTGTACTTAATCAAAAATCTTAATTTAACAAAAATGAAAAATATATTCAAATTTCAATTTTTGTAAAGAATACTTGTAAATCATATTTAACTTCAGGTTCTCCCCTGGAGTGTACTCTTTGATGTTGTGAGATTACGAATGTGATGGATTATCACAATTGAAAATAAATGCGAACAGCTGGATTTTAAAAAGTAAACGTAGTCTTATTTCTCACAAGAGTGGCGCAGAGTTTGTACAGTTTTCACTTTAATTCGTTTTTTACCCTCATTCCTCCAGTCTCATTGATGTAATATGAATCTCATCCAAATAATATAAAAATGTCCAAAAATGTGAAAATGATATTTAATTATACCAACAAAAACAAATCGATTCGGTCCGTTAGTTTCTTAATAGTGTAGTAATTAGAATAACCATTAAATTTTATAAGAATTCGTAGTTTTCCTCGTTTAACGATATACGTCCACGGTTTTCGTGTTTTATATGGCCTTGTAACGGAAGAATTGACCTACTTTCATCATTACGTACTCCCGACCGACTCGTAAGGAATATCCGGGGGTGTGGGATGACTTCAACGGAATATTGGACGGAGCTGGAAAATCCAAATGGGGAAATGGAAGGGTATAAGAAAGTATGACCAGATCTAAACAATTTCTGCTAGAGAAGAATTGTGCGTCATTGTAAGGAGGAATTCCATATTCCAAAAAAGGCGTAATGTTTGCTCATTTTCTACCGGCGCATCTCATAAACTCTCAGGGACAATATGAGAATAACGTATTTGCGTACTCATAAAAATAAGATAGGATTGAAGAAAAAAAAACATGAATAGAAAAATAAAACCGAAATTGGAAAGTAAGGTAATTTATGGCAAAATCTTTAAGTTCAAGTGTCTAACATTACTACAATTTGTTGCTCTAAAGCCTTATGCAAATGAATTAATAAAGAAAAATGTAATGTGTTGAAACAGAATGAATCATTTAAAGTGTCAATATTCCTTTTCAGAATACATTCATGGCTCTTATGGATATGGGAATAGTAAGCATTGATAGTTTCTAATTCCCAGTTGGAGTTCTACCATTCATTATACACTGTAGTAGTATTCATTCGAGCTATCAAGTGCATAGAAGTAGCAAAAATTGTCTACCACAAAGAAACTCTAAATCACCTGGAAAAAATGGTGGACGTCTGGAGCAACATACGGGGAAACTCGGAAAAGAGGAAAGAGGAAATGCCCTAATCGCAAAAAGAAATCAGGGTCTTTATACAAATGTACTTCTTTAATTTTAAAGATCATGGAATTGGTAACACATAGGGAGCCAAAACAGCCACGATTTCATGGTGGTGATGATTTCTGTTTGCCGACAATGTGACTGCAATCACAAAATCTAACAAATGAGGAGATGAACCATTGTACGTACCACTGATGTGCACTAAGACAATTTGTTGTGCCAATAAAACATAATTAAGGTTTCTATGGAGTCATCATCAAAGCTAAATTCTATTTATTGTAATTAATTAATCCATTACGGATTAATTAAGCTGGCTTGCCCACACAGTGGAGGAATTCCATTATTGTGTAACTCTTCTTTTGTAGTACTGACGCGTCATTCTCAGTAACTTTCTGACAGCTTATTTCACACGCGTAACATTTTTCCACATTCATAGTCGGTTGCCCTCATTTGGAGATATCAGGCCACTGTGATTTTCTTCCTCAGTAGGCCATGTTCAAACATTTGCAAACTTAAGGTGTTGTACAATTTGTGTCGTGAAAGGAAGATGCCAGAACGAGGAAAATGAAACAAGTGTATTTTGATAGGCACTCTTTCTTTTCTTGTTCTATGACTGGATTTTAAACGGAATACCTTACTCTCATTCAACTAAGGTAGATAACATTATATATTCGCTTTATAGCAGCAAAATGTTTCCCTATTTGAACTCTCTTGAAGTGAAGTCGTTGGCCCAACGACGAATTTATCATTTTGTAAGCCCTAAGCTAAAATATTTTTGAGCTCCCCTTATTACTCTCAGCATCAATATTTTTAAGATTGCAGATTTTAACCTTTTTTCACAAAATCAATAAACTATTTAAACATTCCTGCAAAAACTTTTATTCCTCTTTTTTAAAATTAATTAAATTTAACTAGTGGGGCTACAGAATGGCCCAGCGTCTTTGATGCTAGTTACGTTTTCTACTTTCTTTGTTGTGGCTTGCTTTTCGATCTTGCTTAATCGATTACCTAAATGTAGAATCTAAATATGAATACTATAAGAATATTATAGAAGAGTAAAACCTCGCACAGTATGGAAACGTTCGTGAAAAATATTGGGGCCGTTTTTAAGAAAATGTCACTTGAAAGTTAATGTAAATGCGAAATTTGAAGCTCTTTTTCACAGAAAATTTTAGAGTATTCGAGAAACATAATTGGAAATCGCTTAAAGTTCTTCAACTTATAATTGCTGGAAATGTGCATATTAACGGTGTGAGTTATATTTTTTTAAAATTGCATAATATTTGAAAAACAATAACAAAAGAATATAAAAAATAGCTTTTGACACCTTATACAGTGCATTTAGCACTCTGCAATAAGTTTGAAGAAAAAATTTGTTGCCTTTTTGGAGAAAATGGTGTTGAAAATGTGAAATTTGAAGCTCATTTTTACAGAAAATGTTTGAGTTTTCGAGAAACTTTACAAGACAATTTGAAGCACTTGTTTAAAAAAATTAATATTGTATACAAATATCCGTTAATGTAAATACTATGGACGCGGGAGATGTCAAAAAATTACATTTGTGTAATTTTGGAGAAAACACAAGAATATAGCATAATGACTTTTGTGTCATTTACGACTATCTCTACCAAAAGTTTAAAGAAAATAATTGTTTGTTTGTGGTATTGTTTTATATTGCAGTATAGGACTCCGTCTACTGTGAGGTCTTCACGTCTATCGTATTCTTTTATAGAGGTTTTCAAACTGCTTTCTTGTTTCCAGTCGTAGTACAAAAATTTCCTTGTGTGGGGTACGTGAAGAATTGTTTTGGTGAGACTTAAAATAAATAACTTGAAGAAAAACCAAAAATTTGTAGTTTATTCTTTCCATTGAATTTTGCAAGAAATTAAAACTCTTGTTTATAATGGAGGTTCCAACTCATTGTCACGAGGATGAAACCAAATACCTTAATATGAATTCTTCGACGTTCTTCTGATTATATAAGTAGTATGTGAACTCAAAAGAATTTCCCTTAAAATTGGACTTCGTTCACGTTCTAATTATTTACTTTTTGTATTGTAATTTTCTGTAAATAAGTTAAGAAAATATAAAGGCTTTATTATTTTAAACTCGTTATTTTAGGAAATATGATTGTGGATCTACTGAATTTTATTTTTCTTGGGATTGCATCTTCGAAACGTTTTAGAACCTGCAATTTACAACAAACGATGCAGCATACATTTTTTCACGTACTAGATTTCAGTAATTTTCAAGACTTGCATAAGTTATTATTATTTGTTATTGTTTGGTGTTATAATTTTTTCTTCTGTAAGGCAAACATTTTTTTCTGATATTGATAGTTTCATCAACAGCTAGCGGTAATTTTCTTTGAAGTCCAATTTTACTAATAGATCAGCCTCAATTTTTTAAATTTATTTTCATGATTATCGTATTTTTAATTTTTTGATTGATTAATTGATTGTTTAGTGTATCCGGGCGCGTCAACTGCTGAGATAGTTCCGTAAGTATAGTGCACGTTTTTTATTTTTTGATGTGGCGGTGATCTTCTGTTGGCTGGCGAGATCCGGCAACGACCTACGTCGGGTTCCAGGCACTTTCCCCAATCCGATATCTCTCACCCGCTTGACACTGCCACCGCCGGGAGAAGCTCTAAGCTCCCGGCTAGTTTGCCAACAAGTGTAGTGCATGTAAGTGTAAGTGTGTAAGTAAGGATAGAAAAACGAAAACGATGAAAACGTCGCGCACAGTTGCTCGTTTGTTAGGATACCGCCCCGGCATTCGCCTTGTATTGATCGAAGGTACTCCTGAGCAGAGCAGCCGGCCGCTGGAATTCTCCTCCAGACCGCTGCTGAATTCGACCTAGGAATCTAGCCACTGTGCAAAATCCGCTCACGCCGATAGGCCGTGACATACGTTGATGCGTTGGTGGCGCGGCGGCTGTGCGCAGGTGCCGCTGTCGGCGGGGGAGCGCGCTGGAGAGCGGCCGCTGCGCGAGACCTTCCTGTGGGGGCGCTGGCGGCGCCGCTGCCGCGCTGCGCGCTGGCGGTGCGCGGTGGCCGGCCGGCGCGGGTGGCGGCGGCGCGGGCTGGCGGACCGGCGCGCTCGTCGCCCTCGTGCCCTTCGCCTGGGCCCTGCCGCTGCCCGCCGCGCAGCCCTACCACTACGCCTTGCGCGTCGCACAGGGCGCCTGCGCGGTGAGTACACCACTCGCACACGAGCGAGCGCTAATTTTTTTCTTTCTTTTTAATTTGACTTCAGTGGTATAAATTAGGTTTGCGGCTCTCACGCGCAACCAACCTTTATACACGAGCTCTTTGAAGAAATAGAAGTTCACGGAGACTCGACGAATTAAACGTTAAAAAATGAAGGATTTGTTTAAAGAGTATCTAAATATGCAGGCTAAATGGTCTGAACCTTGCCATAAATAAAGACATTTATTTTATTTTTTTAAATTTTAAATATTCATGACAGATGCAGCCCGCAATACTCGGGAAGCTTTGATCGAGTCTAAATACAGCTCTCTATACAGTTGACCTCCAAATCTCGAACTTCTATATATCGAAAATTATTTCTGTATATATAACTCATTTTCTGACAACTACATTTTTCTATGAAATAAAAATGTTTCGAAAATACTCTGAATTATGTTAAACAAATCGGCACATGTTAACATTTACATAAACAATTAACATGTTGAAATGTTAACAAGTGTGAGCAGTGTTTTGAACGGAGTGCATAATATGTGCTGAAACATTATATTTTTTTAAAAAAGTTCAATCCAATGACTTGGTCAGGTACGTATGAAATATCAATTTACGTTACTATTCATAAGTATGTGGTACGAATGATTAAAACGTTTGTTAATTATTTACTATTGAATTTTCTATTTTACCCAACTTTTCCAAAATTATTTTAAAGCATTTGAAAAAAATCGTTACATCGAAGTTTCTAAACATGGAATATTATCGAAGGAATCCTCAGATTTGACGTATGGAGATTTGACTGTAGTTATATAATTCCAAAACGAAGCGCTCTACGGCCTTTAAACCTGGAAACTCGAAGCCAAATGCCTCAACGAAATGTTCCTCAAGCCATAATTTACAGGATAAAATCTTCTTTGACATTGTATTACATTTTAGCTGATTTGGCGCTTCTCGATAGTTCATTGCATTGCAATTGCAATTTCAAGATATACAGAGTTGGGTTGTGGGTGATCTGGGCTGTCCAGGTGACGCCGCGTCGAAGGCTGAGTTGCCGACGTTTCGACCATTCTGTCGTGGTCTTCCTCAGGGCTGGTATGCCAGCGGAGGAAGACCACGATAGGATGGTCGAAACGTCGGCAACTCAGCCTTCGACGCGGCGTCACCCGGACAGCCCAGATCACCCACATGACTCTGGCCGCGGAAGCCTACGACTTCACAAAGTTGGGCTGTACTCGTCTGATTCTGAATTTTTGCATGGGCAATTTCACGTACATTTTCCTAGTGTAAATATCTTGCCTAATTGTTTTGTGACTAAGAAGGAAAGCGAAATGCAATCTGTCAAGGAAGACTATAATTTCTTCCAATGTGTTTAAGGAAGTGTTGTGAATTCTTCCAAGGACATATGTTTATACTACTGGATAAAAATTAATGAAAATTTATTCTATATATGAATTGCACTGTTTTTTATTTTTATTTAATATTTTGTAAGTATACTAGAAGTTACTTTTAAACGTTTTTTAAACAAATAAACACGTTTCGTTAACAACTTTCCTTAATATGGAAGTGGAAGTATAGGGAAGAGGGCGGGGTTTATCATGCGAGGGTTCTCGCACGGGTATGCTGATTTTTCATTCGCTACTGCTACACTATTTTCATTCTAGGAATGAGGTATAGTACTGTATAACCAGTAAAATGTGTCGTCGCGGACGCTGTAAACTGTTTTAAATATAGTTTCATGTGTTGAAAATGTATTTCATGCCCTACTTTGTTCAAATATGTTTTTCAGTTTCTGCCATTAAACTTATCAATGAATCGTAGTAGTTATTCTCTCGTTCAAAAGTTCCCAACCTTATAAGTTACCTCCATACGGGATAAGAACTAGTCCTATTGCAATTTGAAAATTATAATCGCCGCAACAAGTGCTTGTAGGTTTTGATGATGCTAACAGCCCAACAACTAAATTCTAGTACAGCTACGTTTGACGCTTGTTGCTAATATTCACAAAAATGCACATAGCACATTTGCATTAACACAAATGCTAAATGCAAAAATGCAGATCATTCCCAATTAGTTCCGAAAATTCTGTCGCAACAACTTTTAAAACTACGTTTGATTCTTCCCCAGAGTTCCTTAACTCATATTTTTCTCCCCTAATTTTTTAAGAGATTAAAACTTCCCAAATCAGTGTAATTTGTGTTTACTTCAACTTCTGCAATTGCTCTATTTATCGTTTTGCGTGCAAACCTTGCGTTGCATGCGAATCTAACATTAAAAGGCGACTGTTTTGTATGTTAATGTGAATAAGGTGATAGTTAAGTATAATAAGAATAAGTTGTGGGTCACATTCATTTCAAAATCGGTATTTGCACACTTATGTAAGAAAGAAAAAGTGTGAAATCAAACTTAAGAACGTTCATTCATTCTCTAGAAGTACTCACAGTTTTGTTTTCTTCGTATTAACTTGAAATTCTTCAAGCCAAAGTCGTGAAACAAAATTATGGCGTATCAAGTTAAAAATGTCTTTGAATATTGGTGTTTAATCAACACCAACTACATATATCAATTTAGGAGGGGTTGGTTTAATTTCCGACATAATCACTAAGATTGCTGCACCGAAACACAAAAAACACGTTTTGGAAACTTATTTGAATCTTGTGGTCGGATCCGAAAACAAATTCTCAGTTCCCCACCAGGAGACCAAGAAACGTCGAATGACACATCATACAAGTACACATCATACTTGTACGTGTCGATTGGTGCATGGGAAGTGATCTAGCCGCGAGTGACGGAACCGCACATACGCAGAAACGCACATCTGCCCACTCAGAATTTTACTCAATTACTGCAGATGGATGAGTATTACACAGTTCAGGAATATTTTAAAAAAATGCATTTTGAATGACTTATAATTAGTCTTAATAAAGCTAGCTACTACATTTATTTGTTACTCATATATACATTAAGGAAGTCATGTAGTGGATTTCAGTTTTTAATTTTGGACGGGAAGTCATTGATTATGACTGGGTTGTACTGGGCTATTTGATTTATTGAAGATATATTTGGATAAAACATGTTGAAGAGTTGAGTGATGTGATGATTGGTGGAGGGTATAGAGCGCTAGGAAACTCTCCGTCTTGCTGGTGGGAGTGCTAGCAACAGAAATTACGTTGGTAGCAGGGGCTGCAGCATGTAAAAAAAGGAAACGTAAATTGCGTAATCATAATAGATGCTGGAAGTGTGGTCTCTTTCACTTTTTTTCCAGTGATCTGGTTCCCAGTGCTAACACCATAAATGCAATTTTTGAAAGGAGGCCCTGTCTCTGCTCGATGCGAAAAGACTTTTCTGGGGCACTCTAGGTTTAATTGTGTGTGGAGTTTAACATTGGAAATAAACCATGGGGCATTAGTGACTAATCTGCGAAATTTATTTTGCATTATTTGTATTTGATTTATTTGCTTAAATGGGACAATTTGATATAAAAAAATATTTGATTTGTTTGCGGTATATTTCTCTAAATGGGGCAAGAATACAGCATTAAATTCTGATATTGTATAAGATTACATTGTTTAAAGATGGACAACGAAGAGACTTTGGAGAGGGTTAATAGTGGTTTAAGTTGAATAAATTTAAGTTAGGTTTGTTGTATTTTCATTGCTAAGTGAACTTTCCAAGTTAATATTGTATCAAAGTTTAGTTCTAAATGTTTATCGGTTTGGTTAACGGTAACGGGTATTATGTTGACTTTTACGGAGCTTAATTTTCCATTTGGGACTGAAGTGGAACAGCTAGACTTGATGACCTTTAACGACTGTAAATATTCCATTGTCAAACATTCAAAATTTCAAAAACATTACCATAAGTTACATAAAAATACTAATACCATAAGTTACCCTAATAAGTCTGTTTTCTATACACACAATCAAGCACTTTAAAACTCAGATGGAATTAAAAACTGTGGAAAAAAGGTGGTGGAAAAAATTAAAAACTGTCCAATGGTGCCAACTAGCCCTCTGCTCTGCTATATTTCATTAACAAAAACACATCTATCTTCAATATTGAAGGCGTAGAACGGGTTCCAAAAAATCGAACTTTTGCATTTCCAGAGGTTTTACTGAATATAGATATTGTGTCATTATTAGCATGTTCTCCTCTCTTCGAGCGAAAAACTAAAAGTTAAATTTGGAGTCGTGTTGTTTAAAAAATCTCATAAAAAATTGGGCACCTTTTTGTGTAGCATTATAGCGCTTTCTCTACACTATTAAGTAAAAGAAAAATCAAAAATGTATTTTCAATAATGTAGATGTTGAAAGAGGAATAAAAAAATGAAGTTTGAGAAAAAATTGCTTTTTTTGAAATTCCTAAGATTTTTATTGAAATTGTTTAGAAACGCCATTTTGTAAGCGTATTTTTCTGTATTCTGAAAAAAAAATATTATGAGAATTCTGGAAACACCCGTGGGTTTGTGTGAAGAATTCCCTAAAATTCATATCAAATTCGAGTGTCCGCGAGATACGTCAGATCAATCAGGAAATATGTACCAGTATTTCGGTGAAACCCCTGTGTACATTTAGGGCCCTATTGTTCACAGACAAACCGACGGATTGATGGACGGACAGACGGGTGTTTTTATTTTTTAAAGGAGGGAAAAAAATAAAACCTGGAATATTGACATGGGCTCCGCAAGTGATCACTACTTGCTGAGCTAAAATACACAAAAAAACATAATGGAAATTATCCATACAATAAACAAAAATACATAATGCAAATCATCTATACCAGAAATTTGTAACGTAGGAACGGGATAATGGACTGTCTTATTAAAATATTAGATTAATATATACAACAGTGTATACAAATCGCTGGAAACAAGCATATTAAAGGCGTGAAATATTAAAAAAAAAAAATTGTGAAATTTTTGAGAAAACAAAAGAATACAGCAAAATGAATTTTATTAAACAGTGCAATTAGCACTATCCGTTGGATTCTCTTCT